GTGCGGCTCGGTGGGGACATTAGTGCTATGACTTTTCTAAGCGTTTCAGTATCGGTATCTGTATCATATCGAATTAAAAAGTTTGGTATTGGCCAGCCCTAATGCTACACCAGAAAATAATCAAGTCTCTTTTGAGGCATTGTTCAACTTTAAAAAAAAAATTTTTTTTTTAAAAAACAGAAGAGAACAATAAAGACACTAGCCTCTTGAGACCATTCTTCCACTGTGATTGATTTCAGATAATGAAGATGCAGAATAGGGTCTTAATCAGCCATATGCCTGGTGACCAAAGGCCTAAAATAACATAAACAGGAGGCAGAATACATTAATATCATTAATACTCTGATGGTTTATGAAGTTCACATTTTTGTTTTCTAATAGTAATCTTCAATGCTATGAAGTTGATCCTGAGGATAGTACATGTAATGAGTAACATGAGCAACATGTATACACTCAGTGTGTCTGAAGATAGTCTTTTCAAAGGATATCAGAACACTAACCTAAAAATGGCTGTACGTTGCAATAGAAAGGGACCAAGGAGTTTTGCTTGCCTCACTGAACACTCAGCAGAAATCAATGCTTCTCACAGAAAAGTCATCCATTATTTCTCAATGGACTAAATGCTACTTAAGAACTGTATTAGATCTCAATATAAACCCGCGTGAGAGGCCATTAATTGCAACCTCAGCACACTATAGATTGGTGTAATATTCCTACAGGGAGTTACAGTGTGTAGTGCTCAGCAGAGAGACGATAGTGACTTTATCATGGCTTTACACAGGTTTTCATGTATTTTATGTGATTTCAACAAGATTTCTGTGGAAGCTATCATTTTTATCTTGCTGCATGATGATATATAGGTTTCCTTTTGAGGAATTGCTTGAGATTAGGATTCATTAGGCCCGTAGAATTTGTTTTTTTTATCAGGCCATTTTGTAGTTATTTTGAGTATTACATCCCTTGATGATCATTTTTGATGTCCATTTGATTTATTTCATCTTTCATTTTTCTTCATGGCCGCTAGGGGGTAATCATGTACAACAAATTTATACCAACTTTCAGATTTGGTGAGAGTTACCACTCAATACTGCTGATACTGTTCTTTTAGATGAAAACTCAAATGATCCTGACACTTCAACAGTAAATAAACACAGACTCTTTTAGAATGTTTATGCTTGAAACAGAGAAATGCTGCAGCCAACAGTTTGAAGAAGAAAGGTTAATCCATAAAGATATTTCTCCCCTAAGAGAGACTTCCTCCATTTTACTCAGCAGGTAGGTCATTATCTTCAGAAAGAAAACTTCATATGGTTATTTGCCAAGCTACAAGCTACTGTGGAGTTGAGAATAACCATCTAATCACTAACGCTGCAGCAAATCTTGCTGTGTATGTAGATCAAAATGGCAACAGACATTTTGAAGGAGCAATACAACAACCTGCAGAAGGAAAATGACCACTATAAGAAGCTCATCAGCCAGCAGAGGGATCATTTGGTCTCTCTGGATCAGGAGGTAATGTTAACTTAAACCATAAGTTGCTGTAACTTACTCCTACTGCTACTGAAGTGTCTTGACTAAAGATTAAAGGAGTTTTAAGTGTGTATTTGACTTGTAATCAATTCTTTTAACTTATTATTCCTGTTGAAGAGGTTATTTTTTAATTCTGTTTTTGTTGAGATGTGATGTAGGTTATGATATATGATATGCTATATAACTTATGTAACGGTAACTTATGTAACGTTATGTGAGTAATGTTAGAAGTCACAGTAATGGTAACAGTAGTATGTACAGTAGTAATGATACCAGTAATAGCAGGTTCAGTGTAACGTTAAATATGTTGTGTAATAGTATTTATTAAGAGTAACAGACTATTGGTGATCCAATACAGTATGGTCAGATATATAATAATGACATTGAAGTTAAAGAGTTGTCTTTTTACTATAATTTGAGTCTATTTGGACATTTATTTGGTGAACAGTGTAGGAATTATATAGTAGGCGTTATAGCCCCATTGTCAGGCTGCATTGCTAAAAAATTGAAAGCGACATTGTATTAAAAGGGCTACAGTTTATTCACTGTTCAAGCAACAGGAATTTGAACACCTTCAAATACTCTTAAAGCTGAAAGGCCGCACTTGATCTTCATAGTGTGTCGTTTAAAATCCAATGTGCTACTGCTGACAAAAAAGGAAAATGTGTCACTTTGTGCACAGGAACAGAGTGCATTGTGTCTTCTTTTCTGTGTGGCTCCAGATAACAGCGGTGGAGAGCAGGATTCAGCAAAAGTTAACAGTCCCAGGAGGCATCTTCAAACAACAAGGGAAACACAGCCACCACAAGAAACACATCCGCAGCTTGGAAAACAAGCTCAACCAGGTACTAATGCCAATAAAACTACATAATCTTGATTCTGACTTTGCTTATTACACACCTTAATGTTACCTTTATTCAAGTCCCCTTCCAAAGTACTTTAAAGGACTCATTTATCATTTTGGAACCAAACTTATTTAAAAAATTAGATAAGAAGATACATATCACTTTCATGTCTGTCCGTTAAATATGAAGCTACAATTAAGAGATGTTAGCTTAGCTTAGCATTAAGAGTGAAAGCATGGGGAGTTATGTGCTGCAGAAGGCCCCAGGAAGTCAATGCACCCAGACAAGAAATAGTCCAGCAACTTCCTGTAAAACCACCACGGGCAAGATGTCCCTTATTTTTCCATATTGAAGGTGGCGAACCCTCCTCATCACAGTCTATGATGTTAGCCCAGATTTTCCACTTGACATACAAGGTTAAGCCTGACTTTCACACACATTTCAATGTTCAAATACGAATAGTCCCAGATTTGAATCTCAATTTGAATTCCTTCCTTGTTTTCTATAGGTCACTATTAAGTTTGATGAGATACTCTGCAGCAACATGGATTATCGCAAAGACATTGCTCACCTGCTGCAGCAGAAAGACTTAGGGTGCAAAATCAAAAATAATTTTGACAGACAGATAGCCTCACAGCAAAGCATGATGGAGAAACTGGGGTCGAAGCGCACCCTCGCTTTCCGCCAGAGGTAAATTCACGGTTGTGTGTGTGTGAAGTGCTGATTTGGAAAGGTTGAGCCATGTTGTTTGATGTGTGTTTGTTATGCTTCAGGTCAGAGGCTGAGAGCCGAATACTGGAGGTGAGGAAGTGCATCGAGGTGGAGAGTAATCACTTCATTAGGAGACAGATGCAGCTGAAGATTGTCATCGACCATGACGCCAAATTGCATTCATTCATGGAGAGGAAACTCCAGGAAATTATTCCTTTGGAAGACGATGAAGACTACAAGAAGAAAAGTATAATATTCCGCAAGGAATTAAATAATTTAATGTTTTTCAGACAGCATCTGACTTGTTAAAACTCTGTGACCTTTATTATGTAGGTGCAGAGAAACAGCAGCAAAATCAGAATGCAGCGAATATGCTGGAGATGTACATGCAGGGACACAATACGCTAGTAGAAGTCATCGGAGAAAGAGACCTGCGTCAGATAAGTCAAGTGTTCATGGAGAAAGAACAGAAGAATTTTTCTCATATCGGGTACATCAACGAGCTACACAACAAAAGGAACATAATGAAGAACCGCACAAACAAGCTGAAGGCAAGTGCTTATCCTGCCAACGTGCTCAGAGACATAGTTTAACCTAGTGTAAGTTGTGTTAATATGCATGTGTTACTCCTTCAGGGTGACATCCTGCTCTTGGAGCAAGAGAACGAAGGACGCAATGAGCAGAATAAGAGCCAGCTTGAGGATCTAGAGGTGAGTCTCACTGTCAGACCTATGCACAAAATGCAGTATGTAGACTATTTCACAGTTGCAGGCATATTGCAAATATTATAACTGTGCCCTGGTGTATTTTCTGGTGCAGTGTTTGCTAATACCTGTATATTTATGTATATTATAATTACATATAATTATTGTATAATGCTAGGTAGCTCACATGAAAGAAATAACGAGAAATAAACTTGCATCCGAGCTGTTTCCTAGCAACGCGTTTTCAGGTACAAATCAAAACAGCTGTTGGTTTCCTAGATAAAATCATTTTTGACCATGGCATAGATGAAAAACCTGAAACCTGAAAATCACCCAATATGAAGACAACTGAACCAACAGCATTTGCAGAAAGACATCTTCTGTTTGTATATCACTGCATCTGAGTCACATATCCAAAAATATATCCTTTCATTCTTACAGAGTTCATTTTAACATTTAATTGGTCACTTACAGACCATTCTGAGAGCATGCAACTATATACTGACACTATACTGTCACATATGAAGGAATCTCAGTCCCCTAATAATTAATGTATGACTATATAGCTAGTAAATGAGAATAATGTTACAAATCCTCCTCCTTTTATTGACATGGATATTTTCCCTATAGTCAAAAGACAAAAAGGCTTTGATTAAGTACTGTCGTCTATTAATATATTGTACTGTATATCCAATTGTTGGTAATGTCTCATGAGGACATAGCTTTGTTCAAGATTCCTTTTCAGTATATGTTTTTATACTTAGCTGCACTATAATTATTTTCCTGTGTCTTTCTGTGCTGTAGTCTGAGTTGCAGACGAATACCCGTCTGGCCGACTCCCTGGAACAGCAATGCAGTGTGATTCAGATAACAATGGACCAGCTGAGGACTGCCATCAATGTCCTTTTCGATGAGATAATGGACGAACCTGTCATTGTCACTTTTGACAACATTGTACACTGCATTAGTAGGTGGAACTTTTAACCTCTTATCCCTGCCTCTGAATATACATTTCTCACATTTTAAATGTACTATATGTAACTTTGAGAGAACCATTATTAATGACATCAGTGGCTGTTAAGTGAACTGCAGTCAGCGTCTTGATGCCCCATACATAGTCCATAGGCGCAAGCGAGCATCATCCTGGGCATCAGCCTAAAGTAAATTACAATCATATTTAGAATAACATCACTGTCTGCAATGTTCCTATATATTTTTGACCACTGACTCCAGGCTACTAACTAGCTTACCGTTTACAAATCACCCCATCAACCAACACCACGAAGCATGGCCTGGTTGTGGACCCAGGCGCACCAGCCTTTTTTCCCAATGTGCTTTGCCAAGGGTTTTTTGAAGTGGGTAGCAATGCGACTGTGTGATTGGCCCCCTCAGCTAGTTGGATGCCCCTGCTTTGCATCGCTATTGGCTAGGAGAAAGCAATCGATTGCTGTATACCGTTGCATCATATATTATTGACTAAGTAAGTTTGTAAGCTAACATTAGCCAACTTAAATATGCAGATAGTATTTCGCCAGTGATAATGTTAGTGAGCAGGCAAGCTAAGGTTAGCCAGCTGCAACCCAGCTGTACTGAATACAATATATGGCGCCCCCGCAATGACAGCCCGAGGAGTCTGCATGAAGCTAGCTGACAGTATCTTGCTCCATTAACTAGATCCAATCCACATCCCTACATAGAAACGCATATAAATCAGTTCACAGGCAAGTGAGAAAATCGGGGAAGGTCTCATTTTAACAAAGTTACATCACAATCTGTTCACACATTAGCAATAGACAGTGATTAATAACCTACGGAAAATGCTTCAGAATCTCACATAGAAGCTTTAACAACTGTTGTCACCTTCTTCAGGCATCCTTGAGGAGTGCATTAGCGACCTGCTGATCCAGGCCAACGATGTGGACGATGAGCAGATGCAGCAGCCTCCTCAGAACCTGCTGCTGGCTCACTTTGACTTGCTACCAGGTATGAAACACCTAACCTTTAACCCTGCAGTCAAACTGAATGATAAAACTTCAAAAAGTAACTGCTCTTGACCAAAACTAATAATACTGTTTAATTTTCAGATGTTCTACCTGTTCAACCATAAACTGTATGCTATACTGTATGTGTGTTTGTTACAGGGCACAGCACTAAGTCTACTTCACGCTCACTAAAGTCTGCCTGATCCAACAGATAGTGGCACCTTCACATGCTTCCTCTTCTCACTGCAGTGAAACAGCCTCTTACCTACAATAAAAACCCAAGTACAGCATCATACCTGGTTCTTTAGTCTACGTAGCATACAGTACAATCAATCATTTCTGTATTAGATAGAGGATAAAAGATGAGAGCATCAATATTGAAGCTGCATTTATATTTTTTGGGGTTCGGGGTTCCTTTGGCTGCTTGGGGGCAGAGGAGTAAACAATGTGTGTACTTTAGCCACCTCTGCCCCTCCAAGGTCTTACAAGTGGGGTAGGGGAGAGTGGGAAGGATCACTTGATGGCATCCTACTGTGTGCCTGTCTCAAACTCCTCAGTATAGCATTACCCTCCTCACATCATCACAGCACTAAAATAACAACAGGGCTTTGTCTCACTAAAGCCCTTTGTTTCAGTAGCCAAACATTTTAATGCACACACACACACACAATGCACACATATCCTACTTTGTACATGTGTACGTACGCAAATACACACAGACACACACACAAAAACTATCCAGCCGGCATGTTTTGGATAAATCTCTTTGGGATTTCAGGGGATCTCCAGCCGCTATTCTCAAGTACACACATTCACTACCTAACATGGAATTAAACTACTAGCTAGTGAAGGCATGTGTTCAAGCAGTAATTTGATGATCCTATAAACACATGAGCATCACTCACAGGAATAAAACTTATTTTGTACAGTCTCTATAGAGTTCCCTCTGTGCTGTTCATATGTTTTAAAAATCAGAATGAGAAAACAAATTGGCTCCTGTCTTTGAAAACTTTTATTAGACGAACATGCACAGA